TTAACTTTACTTTTCCTTCTACCTCAGCCTCCTTCAGTTTTGTTTATGGAGGGGAGGGCAACATTAGGGCTTGAGGAACTGAGTTCTGTGCCTCTGGAAATTGGGCTATTGATAAGGTAACTTCTTTGTTGTAAATCTCAAGGACATTTGTAAACCAAGGGAGACTCCTGCCTTGCAGGATTGTGATCTCTGCAGGTTAACTATTTGTTTTTCTTTTAGGGCAGTCAGGGGTGCCTGAGGAATGTGACACATATTACCGAGGGGAGGGGAGTGGGTAGAGAGGGGGTGCAAGGTGCCAGCTTTTGCTTTGTCCTCAGCCAGCCTCCTGCTCCCTCATCAATATGATCTCCCTGATATGAGGAAGTTGAGAGGCAATGTGGGAGGTTTGGGGCATAGGAAAAGAATAAATGAAACAAGATGGGACCGGGAGGGAGACAAACCATAAGAGACTCTTCATCTCACAGAACAAACTGAGGCTTGCCAGGGGGAAGGGGGGGTCAGGAGAGGGGGGTGTGGTTATGGACACTGGGGAGGGTATGTGCTATGGTGAGTGCTGTGAAGTGTGTAAACCTGGCGATTCACAGACCTGTACCCCTAGGGCTAATAATACATTATATGTTAATAAAAAAATAAAAAATTAAAAAAAGATAAAAGGGAGACTTATGAGGGGCGCCTGGGTGGGTCAATGGGTTAAGCATCTGCCTTCAGCTCAGATCCTGATCCCAGGGTCCTGGAATCAAGCCCCACATCGGGCTCCCTGCTCCTTCTCCCTCTCCCCTGATCCTGCTCTCTCTCTTTCTCTCAAATAAATAAATAAAACTTAAAAAAAATAAAAGTGAGACTTAGGAGAGAACCAAGCAGGAAATGCCCCTCCCCCCATCCTCGTGGTACAGCTTCCCTCACCTGGGGCAAAATGGCCCTTCCCTGGAGACAAGAGCGTCAGAAGGAAGGGATGACCCCATTCTTTTTTTTTTTTTTTTTAAGATTTTATTTATTTATTTGACAGACAGAGATCACAAGTAGGCAGAGAGGCAGGCAGAGAGAGAGAGGTGGAGGCAGGCTCCCTGCGGAGCAGAGAGCCGGACGCGGGGCTCGATCCCACGACCCTGAGATCAGGGCCTGAGCTGAAGGCAGAGGCTTAACCCACTGAGGCACCCAGGCGCCCCAGGATGACCCCATTCTTAAAAGAAAAAGTCCTTACTGCTTGGTCCTCCATTTATAACACAAAGCAGGGTAGTATTTTCATATTTAAATGTGGAAAATTATATATATGGGTGTGCAGATATGTGTGTTTTTTGTTTTTTTTTTTCCTAAAGGAGGAAAAACACAGCGGTTGCTGGGAGCCAGATATGGGGTGCATAATAGTCCGGTTGGACATAAGGTTCTCCTGTTGAGTGCGGGTGAGCGAGGCAGGGCTGGCAAAGCTGGCGATCTGGGGCTCTCTGTTATTCCCTTGTTGCCACTGCAGGGTCCTCTGTGCTCTGCCCACCCTTGGTGGGGGGCAGGGAGGTGGATACCGGTAAGGTAACAGGTGGAAGCGCGTTGTAGAAGGGGCAGTCACCTGAGTCCTGTGGCTTTGGTTTGAAAGACACACATGTACATGTGGAGGTTTAGAAAGAAGAGTTAGCTGGTCGACCTGAGTGTGGTACTGACAAGGAGCTCCTGGGAATGTTTTCTAGCATGTCGCTAATGCAGGTCTTCTGTATATTAACATTTTTCAAGAAGCAAAAGAAAGAAGCTTAGCTTTTAATCCTATCTGTAGTGCTTCTGAGGCTTTGTCTTTGCAGAAGCACTTGTAGGCTTCAACTGTCCCCTTCCCATCTCTGCTCTATGAGGAGATGGGACAGCCCCGGTGTCAGAACCCCCGTCATTTTGTGTCCTTGTGTCTATTCTCTGGGGGTGAGATACGCCTTTTCTCTGTTAAGATTCCTGAGAATTACTTTTTCTTTTACAATAAAAAACAAACCCCACCTTCGTCCCTACACTTTCCTGGCTGTGTCTGGATGTTTTTAATGTTGGTTGCACCAGGCCGGCCGTGGTTTTTGCCTGCCACGATCACTTTTCACTGTCACGTGCAGTAAGTTCAGAGCTGGACAGCTCCTCGTGGTAAACAAATTGTTTACCCCCCAGAGAAGCTCCTATAAATCAACCAAACATACCTAAGATCGATTCTTTGTGTTTCTTTTAAATCCCTATGTGCCTTTTCATTCTTTTCTTTCCTACCAAAAAAAAAAGGGAAAATTTTTAAGAGACAAAGGAAGCTCAAGTTTACTTGTTCAAGGGATTTTGAGAAATCTGTCTTGAGTCGTGCTGCCAACTACCTCTTCCCTGCACTTGCGGTGTTTGGAAATCTCAGGATGAAGGCATTCCCCGGAGCTACAGGTTCGTAGTAGGGTTCAAACCCCAGCCCTCCCCTCCCTGCGCTCCAGACCTTGGCTTTGACTTATAATGCTATAACAGTCTCAAAAAAGGTAATGTTCAGGGAGGGGTCACACCTCCCACCCAGCCAAGATGGGGAAAGGAAAACTGACCAGGCTTATGTCCGTGCCTACAGCTGTGTGAACACCAGCTGACTCCAACAGCCAGAGCTGGAGGTCTCAGATGTCACACACAGCTGTCACACGCTCTTGTCTGGAACATCCCATGTTTAAGAGGCAAAATTCTTCCAGGAGCGGGTGGTGTAGAACATGCAGCAGCTGCTTCCTCGTGTCCTTACTGCTGTTCTTCAGCTTATCAGTGGATCTTGATGTCGCTCCCACTGCCTGCCTCCCTCCTGTGTCCTCAGGAATGCATCTGCTCCCTTCTGATAAGATCCAAGGTCATATCTGGAGCGCTGATAAACACCCAGCCAGAAACTGTGGCTTCCTGGTGTGCCTCCCTGAAGTCACTGATGGCGCTAGGCCCCCTCCGTAGTCCTCCCACACTAACATGCTAATCCTCCCAACCAGCAGCACGCAGGGAGATGGACACGGAGAGTGAGGGGCAGGTGGTGCACACAAAACAGGGTTGTGAGCAGGAAGGAGGCTGATCTGATCTGAGACTGGGCAGTGAAATATCTCACACACACACACACACACACACACACACACACACACACACACACATTTTCCATGGCCTGGTTCCTCCAGCTCTTCGGGCATCTTTGGGACAACCAATGGCTGCCAGAGGCCCAAGGCAGGATAGATGATGGCGGGTAGGAGGAGTCACAGCCAAGGGAGCTCCTCAACCCAGCCCAACTCTCTGAGGCCCGGAGGAGGCTCAGCATTTGTACTGAGGAAGTACTCTCTCTCTCCCTGTGCACACGCTGGGCCATTTGCATTGACCCTTTTACCCCTTGCTCCTCTACATGCTGAATGCTTTCTCAACCTTGGAAGGTCCCCTCAAATGTTTCCTCTTAGAAGTCCTCATCCTCCCCAGTGGAAACACACTGGTCCTCCCTTTATAGGGGCGCTTACCACATGGTTGAGCCCAAAGCCTGCCTGTCTCCATACTAGACTTGAATTCCTGGGTCTCCCAGGACCTCGATCTGGGCACCTTCTCCTCCTCAGGGGCTGGCATGGGTGTTGCACAGAGCCAAGTGAATGAATGCAGTTTGCAGGTATTAGTGAAGGAGTGAATAAACGAATGGATAGATGGGTGGGTGGGTAGGTGGAAGGATGGGGGGGCAGGTAGCTGGGTGGATGGATGGATGATGGGATGGACTGATAGACAGCTGAATGGATGGATGGAAAAGTAGGTGATTGTGGGGTGGTGGTGAAGTAGGATGGATGGATGAACATATGAATGGATTCCAGATAAGGTCAGGGGATGGAGGTCACCAAGGAGCAATGGGCTTCCCTGGCTCTGACCTCTAGAATGGCCTCCCTCTCTTAGAATTCGATGTCCTGCCATAAGCTGGGACCCCCTGCAGGATACATAAGGAGAATTCTTGTGGAGCCCTCTTCACATTTTAGGGATCCAGATGAGGCAGGAGTGGCTAAAACTTCTTGGGCTCCCACTAGGTGCCAGACACTGGCTAGATGTTTCCATGGATGCAGCCTTCTTTAATGGAAATAGCACCAGTTTTGTGAAATAAGCCTATTATCCCCATTTTACAGCTAAGAAAACAGGTTTAGAGAAGCTAAGAGAATTGCTCAAGGTCACACAGCCTATGTCTAGCAAGGATAGCAATTTGAACTCAAAACCTGCTCTAACAGTCAGGGCTGGAAATGCTGGAAATCAAATGACACTGAGGAGGGGTCCCCTGGGTGGCTCAGTTGGTTAAGGGTCTGCCTTCGGCTCAGGTCATGATCCTGGGGTCTTGGGATGGAGCCAGGCAAGGGACTCCCTGCTTAGTAGGGAGTCTGCTTCTCCATCTCCCTCTCTTCCTGCTCACTCTCTCTCTCTCTCTCAAATAAATAAAGTCTTTAAAAATATATATTAGAGGGGCGCCTGGATGGCTCAGTGGGTTAAAGCCTCTGCCTTCGGCTCAGGTCATGATCCCGGGATCCTGGGATCGAGCCCTACATCGGACTCTCTGCTCGGCGGGGAGCCTGCTTCCCCCTCTCTCTCTGCCTGCCTCTCTGCCTGCTTGGATCTCTATCAAATAAATAAATGTTTAAAAAAAAAAAAAATATATATATATATATATATATATATATCAGAAATGACACTGAGGAGACAGGTAAGGATGGCAGGGAGTTGGCCCCTTCTTGCTCTAACCGGGGCTCTGAGTTCCCATTTGGGCTTGGCCCTCTGTTTTACCGGGAGATCTGGCTGAGCCCTTGTCTCTGTCTTGGCCTCACCGTGCCTGTGTGGACTTGACACCCCTGGGGGTCCCTTCCAGGTGACTGATGCCGGAACGGAGATGGCTGTGAACCACTCCTGGCCCTCCCTGCGGGATGCTCCAGGACTCTCCCTACGGCTGGGGGCCAAAGGGCAGGGCCACCCACCAGGTAATGGTTAACTAGACCTGACACCCGTCTATAAGGAGTGACCGCAGCTTGCCAAGACGCCGCAGGATGCAGTGGGTGAAGGTGCTTGGGGGGGTGGTGGGAGCCGCTGCCCTCTTGGGGCTGGGGATCATCCTGGGCCACTTTGCCATCCCTAAAGGGGCCAATGTCCCAGCCCCCAGCGTCTCCCAGGACCTGGACCTGGAGATCCTTGAGACCGTCATGCAGCAGCTGGACGCCAGCAGGATCCGAGAGAACCTCAGGTGAGAGGGCTGGCTCGCCTCCCTGCCTGTTTGCCAGTGCCACCCCCCACCCCTGCGTCTGCCCATGCGTCTTCCCACCCTACAGAAAACTCTCCAGAGAGCCTCACTTGGCCTCTAGCCCCCAGGATGAGGCCCTGGTGCAGCTGCTGCTGCAGCGATGGCAGGACCCGGAGTCGGGCCTGGACGCAGCCGAGGCCCCCGCCTATGAAGTGCTTCTGTCGTTCCCCAGCCAGGAGCAGCCCAACCGCGTGGCCGTTGGTGAGGTGCCACTCAGGCCGGGGGACACCTGTGAGGGCGGGGCGGGGGGAGCTGCCAGGCCCAGTCCTGATGCCTCCTCCCATCCACAGTGAGTCCCACCGGGAGCGTCGTGTTCTCCTGTCGCCAGAGCGAGCAGAACCTGACTGGGGAGCAGGCGGGGCCCGACGTGGTGCCCCCATATGCTGCCTACGCTCCCCCAGGAACCCCACAGGTGGGTCTGGGACATCCCCTCCCTGCCCAGCGCCAGCGCCCCGTTCCCTCTGCCTCCATCCCAGCTTCTCCCTTCCTGACCCGGGGCCCTCCCCCTATACTCCATTGCTGCTCCTTTTATCCATCACCGAGTCATTCTGCAAACCCTTACTCAAGACCAGACCAGGGGTGACTCTGCTTCTGGGGAGCTTACAAGCTCTGGCTGAGGCAAGAAAATCGAGTCCAACATCGTCACCCTGCCACACAGCAGCCACGCTCTCCTGTCCTCATCCCCTCTTTCCTGGGCCAGGCTCTGAGAATCACCTCCTCTTGCTACCAGGGCCTCCTCGTCTATGCCAACCGCGGAACAGAAGAAGACTTTATGAATCTACAGACTCAGGGCATCAAACTGGAAGGCACCATTGCGCTGACCCGCTACGGAGGTGCAGGACGAGGGGCCAAGGTAAGCAGCCGCCGCCAGGGAACTGGGGGCTGGGAACAGGGCAGGGAACTGGGTGGGCCGGGAGCCAGCTCATGACAGGATGGAGTGGTGTTGGGTGGTGCACCGAGCCCTGCGTGGGGACAGAAGCAGCGGGCTCCATTTCTACTGTTGGCACTGGTGATGTGCTGTGTGACCCTGGAGGCCTCCTCTTACCCCTCTGAGCCTTGGGAAATCAGTGGATCAGGCAAAGTGTTCACCTTTGTTATTCTGGAGTCCAAGTTCTCCTGCAAAGGAGTTCTGAATATTTAGCTTAAATCTCTCTGGTATGCCTGCCTCCCAGACCGCATCTTTTCAACTAAAAATTTTGACTAAGTATGTCATGTCTGTGGTTTTAAAAAATTAGTTAGTTGGTTTTTTTTTTAATTAAAAAGGTATAGAGTGAGGGAAAGGACTAGGGATTAGTGTTTGGTGACTCCAGAGTTTGAGGTTGGCAAGATGAGGAACTCAGTGGGTGGTGGCAATGGCAGTGTAGTAACATGTATGTCCTTCATCCCACTGAACTTTGTGCTATAAAGTAGAGAGGGCAGTAAATTTTACGTTATCTGTAGTTGAAAGAGGTGCCCAATAAAAGCTGCAAAAAAAAAAAAAAAAAAAAAAGGAGGGAAGAGGCATGGTCTAATTATACAGATCATAGAATTTCCCTTTAAAAAAAAAAAAAAAGTCAAGTGGAAAAGTTCTCCTGTAATGCCATCCTCCAAAGAGGTAACCCGCTGATTTGTTTGTTTGTTTTAGATTTCAGGAGATCAACCCACAGTTTCTTTTGGAAGAGGTGCATATGAATATGATTTTTTTATTTCCCCCCTTCTTCTATAAAAGCAGCATACTATACCCACTGTTTCAAACAGTGCTTTTGTTTGTTTGTTTGTTTACCTTAATACATCCTGGAGATCATTCTCAACTGGTGCATAAATTGCGTCCCTGTTCTTTTTCTTTTTCTCAGGTCCTGTTTTGTTTTTATGGTGCTAAAACACGCCAGCATAAAATTAAATCGAATCAAATTATAAAATAAGCCTCCAGTGTTTAATGCTGGCCCTTAAGCACCTTTACAGTGTTGGACAACCGTCACCACCATCCATTTCCAGGACTCTGATCATTCCCAATGAAACTCTGTGCCCCTTAAACACTCATGCTCCCCTCATTCCTCCCCAGCTCCGGGGAACCTCTCACCCACGTTCTAGAAACATATTAATTTGCCTGTTCTAGAAACCTCACATAAGAGGAATCACACACTATCTGTCTTTCTGTGTCTGGCTTCTTACCGATCGTCATGTTTTCAAGGCACATGGATGCGGAGCCCAAGCATCATTGCTTCCAAAGGCTGAATAATACTCTCTTGCAAGCGGAGGCCCACTGGCTTGTCCACTCCTCCCAGTGGGCACTTGGGCCGATCCCCACTCTTGGCTCCTATGAACAGGGCCACTGTGCCCATGGCCGCATGCGCATACCCTGCTCCCCTAGGCAGCTGCCTGGCGGCCGTGGCTCAATACTCCGTTTCTGTGCCCTCCGCGCTGATCAGCATCGGCCCACCTATGCCCCATGGTCCGTTGCTGCCTCCAGCCGCACTGCAGTCAAGGACTGGTGCCAACATCCTCTTGCCTGTGGGAAGACAGATCTTTCATAGCAAGGAAGGAAGCGGGAAAGGGACCTGGGCCCGCCTCCCCCTTGCCCTAAACCCAGTCTCATTCACCTCCCACAGGCTGTGAACGCCGCCAAGTACGGGGTCGCTGGGGTGTTGGTATACACGGACCCCGCAGACATCAATGATGGGCAGAGCTCTGCCAACGAGACCTTCCCAAACTCCTGGCACCTGCCTCCATCTGGGGTGGAGCGAGGCTCCTATTATGAGTATTTTGGGGATCCCCTGACTCCCTACCTTCCAGCCAATCCCTCTTCCTTTCGCCTGGATCCTGATGCTGCGCCTGGATTTCCTCCAATTCCCGCTCAACCCATTGGCTTTGATGATGCCAAAATCCTTCTCTGGTAAGCTCTCGTACCCACCCCTGCCCCCGGGGGGGACCCCTACCCACCCTCCAGTGGCCCCAACCTTCAACGCCCACACCATTCACCTCCTCCCCAGTAACCTCCAGGGACCCATGGCCCCGGCTGCCTGGCAGGGAGCACTGCGTTGTGACTACAGGTTGGGGCCTGGCTTCCGGTCTGATGGTGACTTCCCAGCAGGCAGGTGAGCTGGGGCCCCTCCTCCTCACGGCTCCTCTCCTCTTCCTCCGCTTCCCTGTCCACCTCAAGGCCTCGCCTTTCCCTTTCTTCTCTCTCCCAACCTTCCCGACTCCAGAACACCTACCTGTCCTGTCTTGGGAGAGCCAGTGAAACAGCCGCGCGGCCCACAAGGCCCCGTGGAGTTTCACGCCCACTTCACCTCTGACCTCCACCCTTCGGCCACCCCCTCTCTCGAACATGCCAAGCTCGTTCCCAAACCAAGACTTCCGCACTCGCTGTTCCCTCTGCCTGGAACACCCTTCCCCATACTCCTGCCATTGCTGGCCAGCACTAACCTTCCCGCCTGCCACCAGGTAACCTCTGGGGGGCGGACCCCGTAGTGCCCCCCCCATTTCCCTTCAGCCAGTTCTCCCCGCAGTCGCTCAGTTCCTCAGGCTTCATCTTGCTGGGGGAGAGGGGGATGGGCCGTCCCACAAGGGTAGGGCTGTGTCTGTCTCAGTCACTGCCCAGTGCCTGCTAAATATCCAATAAGTACTTAACTGAATGAGTCCATGGAAAGAACTGGAATCAGAAGAGTGGGGCTTGCTTCCTCTTTGTTTTGTTGTTTCTGGTGAATAGAGGACATTTATTTTTTTTAATATTTTATTTATTTATTTGACACACAGAGAGAGAAATCACAAGTAGATAGAGAGGCCCGCAGAGAGAGAGGGGGAAGCAGTCTCCCTGCTGAGCAGAGAGCCCGATGCGGGGCTCAATCCCAGGACCCTGAGACCATGACCTGAGCCGAAGGCAGAGGCTTAACCCAATGAGCCACCCAGGCGCCCTAGAGGACATTTAATATTAAGTGCTGATCAAACAGAACACAAGTGGAGAGTTCATAGGGGAGGGGTGGCTTGTGCAGTGGTGTGGGGGGGGAGGGGTTCTTGGAAGGTAGTCCCTGGAGTCTCCTGAGCAAAGGGGCCTGTCCTGGGGTATCATGAGCATCTAACATACCCAGTCCTTGGCCTAAGTTGGGGCCCCCCACAGGGTGTCTGTGGAGTCTCACCTTTTCTCCAGCTCCTTTGCTGGAATCCACACTCCCAGCGTGATGGGGTACTTGGTCCTTGCGAGGGGTCCGGAGGGCATCCAGGAAGCAGGCCAGGGTTGGGACTAGGACTCAGGGCCCACTGCCCGAGGACATGAGAACCCCTAGGGCTGTGCACCTTTTTTCCCTCTGCCCCCATTCCTTCCTCCAGGCTGGCCAAGAGCAGAGCGGGGGTGAGCAGGGCCCCCAGCCTCTACTGAGTCCCAGGGTCCTCAGAGGGTGGGGTGGAGGAAAGGTGGAGACAGGGTCTGGGCCACCAGCTGACACCACCAGTTTAAAACTGTGACTTAAGGGATGCCTGGGTCTTTGCTCAGTGGGGAGCCTGCTTCTCCCTCTGCTTGGGCTCAGCACTCTCCTTCTCTGACAAATAAATAAAATCTTAACAAAACAAAACAAAACAAAACAAAACAAAACAAACCACCTGTAACTTAAGTGCAGAGAGGGCTTCCAGCCTGGGGTCAGGGTGGGAGCAAGGAGGAGGAGCTGGGGTGGGAGTGGGAAGCGGCAGAGGAAAAAGCGAACAAAAAGTTTTGGGTTTTGCTTCCGGCATAAGAAAGATTTTGTTTTTGGATCTTGGTCTTTGGATTTACTGGGGTGGTGGGAGGGGGCAGGGAAGGATGGTGCGGGAGGTCCTTGCTGCCTCTCTAGTTACCTGCGGGCCAGAGACTTGGTGGTGTCCCTTTCTCGTTCTGGGTCTCAGTTTCCCCTGCATTGGGTTGGGAGCGGGAGTGGGCAGGGCCAAGCCTCTGGTCGCCCCCTGGGCTCCCCAAGCCAGGTGAACGTGAGTGTCCACAACCGCCGGGAGCTGCGGAACTCCTCCAACGTCCTGGGGATCATCCGCGGCGCTGTGGAGCCAGGTGAGTCCCTCCGGCCGGCCCCGCCCCGGGCATCTCTAGCCACGCCCCCTGCGCCCGGCCTGGCTGGCCCCGCCCACACCCCCAGGAGTGTCTGAGTGTCCACTCCTCTCGCCAGACCGCTACGTGCTCTACGGAAACCACCGCGACAGCTGGGTACACGGGGCCGTGGACCCCAGCAGTGGCACTGCCGTCCTCCTGGAGCTCTCCAGAGTCCTGGGGACCCTGCTGAAGAAGGGTGAGGCAGCCCCGGTCCCTGGTCTAGGGACCGTCCCAGCAGGCGGTCACCTCCAGCTCGCGCCTCCCTACGCTCGCGGGAATCCTGTCCCACCTCCTCTGTCTCCCGCTCCAGTGCTCACTTGTGCCAAGTTCGAGGGCCCCGGGGGCCGACCTGCATGGACGCCAGCCCTGGCCTAGCTCAAGTCGCCCGGTGGGATGTGGGGAACTCGTGCAGTGGCGAGGCCGGGTGCCGCCAGGAGCAAGGTGGTCCCCAGCCTCTGCCTTCAGGGATCTTCAGCAGAGTTGAGGCAGGGATAACAGACAGTCGTTAACAAATATGCCCCGTGTGCCTGCTTTATGCCAAGCCAGTTCCAGGCACAGCAGACCCCCACAGTGAACACCCGAGTTGCTGCATGCAAAGACGTCGCCATAAGGAGGACTATCTAAGGGGCTCTCCCCGCACAAGCCTGAGCTCAGGAACGCCTCCCTACGGAAGTGGCAGTTTGGGGTGGGGTGGGGATCCAGGTGGAGGGCATAGCATGTGAAAAGGAGAGCCTGGACCAGGGGGCCACCCAGCTGGGGAGTTTGGAGTTCAGTCCAAGGTTGGGGGGAAGATGGCATGGGATTTTTTTTTTTAAGTTTTTAAAAAATATATTTATTTATTTGAGAGAGAGAGAACGCACAAGTGGGCAGGGTGGGGGGGATATGGGGAGGAGCAGAGGCAGAGGGAGAGGGAGAAGCAGGCTCCACGCTGAGCAGGGAGCCCCATGCAGGACTCGATCCCAGGACCCTGAGATCATGACCTGAGCTGAAGGCAGATGCCCAAGTGACCGAGCCACCCACATGCACCTTCTTTCCCTCTGCTCCCAAGTGTACAGATCAGTGGCATTAAGTATATTCCGTGTTGTACACCCATCACCACTATCCATCTCTAGAACTTTTCATCACCATTCTAAAGTTCTAACTATATAATTTGAATCGATACCAACCGGATCTCATACAAAAGCTCACTCCTATAGAGCTCTGTCCTTCCCCTTTACGGTACTGATGTCACAAATTACATCTTTATGCATGTGTCCCCCTTCACATTGATTTTGAGGTGCCTAAGAGACATTCCTGGGGGGAGGGCAAGCAGGCAGTTGAAGGTGCCGATCTCCAAGCTCAGAAAAGAGACTCCTGACACACACTGAGGAGTTCCTGGCATCCATGACTGGTAAAACCACAGGTGTGGTTGAGATCAACTGATAGCGGAGGGAGGGGCTTGTGGAGAGAGACTGGGAGTGTGGCTTTACTCCCTTTGGTAGTGTAGGAATTTCTGTCTCTGTTCAAGTGTTTAATTTTTTTAAAAAATATTATTTATTTATTTGACAGAGAGAGAGAGAGAGCACAAGCAGGCGGAGTAGTAGGGAGAGGGAGGGGGCAAAGCAGGCTCCCTGCTGAGCAAGGAGCCAGATTCAGGGGCTCCATCCCAGGGCCCTGGGATCGTGACCTGAGCCAAAGGCGGTCGCTTAACCAACTGAGTAACCCAGGCGCCCCACAAGTATTTTATTTTGAAATAATTTCAGACTTACATGAGACTTGCCAAAACAGTACTAAGGAGCCTTGGACACCATTCACCCCGATACTCCTGATAAGATTTTACCATGTTCGCTCTTTCTTTCTCTGTTGTTTTCTGGAGTGTTTGAAAGTTGCAAAAACGCCGCACCTTTACCCACAAACATATCATGGTGTATTTCCTAAAAATGACATTTTCTTTCATGGCTACAATATAATGATCAGAATCAGCGAAAGAACAATGTTGCTACCTGTTCTTATGATGACCTTTAAAGAGCAAAAGAAATTTCTGACCCAAGGTGTCAATGCAGGGTCACACATTGCATGTGTGGTAGTGACGCATGTCATCTGTGAGAGTTCCTTTATTCTTTTATGATCCTCATGTTACTTTGTTGAGGGTCCCTTAATTTGGATTCATTTGATTAGAGTCAGGTTATGCATTTTGGGCAGGAAAGAGTGTGAGAATTAGTCATGGCAAGCACATAATCCTTTTATACTTTAACGATTTGGATTTAAAATAAAAAGCTGAGAGGGGCGCCTGGGTGGCTCAGTTGGTTAAGCATCCAACACTTGATCTCAGCTCAGGTCTAGATCTCAGGGTCGTGGGTTCAAGCCACAAGTTGGGCTCTTCATTGGATTCCACGCTGGGCATGGAGTCTACTTAAAAAGATAAAATTAAAACAGAAAGCTGAGAAAGGATCAAAGGACACTGAGATGGAGCTCAAGATGGGAGCACAAACAGGGACATGTGGTGCTGTAGGCTGCCAGGGGCTGTGGGAGGCGGGGTGGCCAATTCCTTAAGCCCCTGGACTCTGGAGCCAGACCCTGGACTTGAACCCTGGCTTCATGCCTACCAACTGTGTAATGCTGGACAAGTCATTTAACTTTTGTGTGGCTCAGTTTCATCTGCAAAATGGAGACAGTAAGCCTCTGTCCCTTAAGGCCCTAAGGAGAGCCTCACTTTATTATCACTGAGTGAAGGTTGTGGGAGAGTTTGGCATGGGGTGCCGGAAGGAGACAGTGGGGGATGGAGGGTCTGGAGGTCTCTACTCCCCTCTAAGGAAGGGGGAGGCAGGGCATTCAGGCAGAAGGGACCACCTGGGATTGGTACAGAGGGCAGTGTTGGGGCGGGGTCCCAGCACTTGAGGGAGGCTGGGAGAAGGGGGACAGAGACTCGGAGAAGGATGGCCTGGAGAGGCTGGGGGACCGAGACCTCCTGTCACTGGCTGCCCCACCAGGGCCGGCCCGTCCTCCTCTCCACGTCCCCAGCGTTCCCCCCAAGCCACCCCGAAGATCCGGCGACCCTGTCCTCCAGCCCTTTATCCCCCTCCCCAGGGACCTGGCGTCCCCGCAGATCCATAGTGTTCGCGAGCTGGGGCGCAGAGGAGTTTGGGCTCATTGGCTCCACAGAATTCACCGAGGTGAGTGAGCCTGGCGAGGCGGGCGGTGGCCGGATTCCCGAGGCGGAGGCTGGCCGGGCTCACGTCGGCCCCCCAACCCGCAGGAATTCTTCAGCAAGCTGCAGGAGCGCACCGTGGCCTACATCAACGTGGACATCTCGGTGTTTGGTATGGGGGGCGGCGGCTGGGCTGACTGGGACAGGGAGAACGAAGGGGCGGCGGCCCGAATAGTCCTTCTGCCGTCTGCCCACAGCCAATGCCACTTTGAGGGCGCAGGGGACGCCCCCGGTCCAGAGCGTCATCTTTGCCGCTGCCAAACAGGTGAAAGGGGCGGGGCAGGGAGGATGGCGAGGGCGGCGTGAGGTCGGGGCGGGCGGGGCTGGAGCGGGTCCTGATCGGAGGGGCCTGGCGGGGGTACTGAGGCTGGGGCCAGGCCTTGTAGGACCCTCAGGCCTGTGCTTAGGATGGATACTCGGGTGGGCCCGGCGGAGGGCCACCTGTTGGGCCTGGGGAGGGGCCGGCCCCAGACTAGATTCCCGTCCGGGTCAGATCCCCGCACCAAGCCCTGTTGGCCTCAGCATCTACGACAACTGGATCCGGTATTCCAACCGCAGCAGCCCAGCCTACGGCGTGGTCCCCAGGTGAGCCCAGGGCCAGGACAGGGGCCCCGGGAGGGCAGCCTGGCCCAGTACCCTCCAGCCCGACCGTCTTTCTTTTCGCAGCCTGGGCTCTCTGGGCGCTGGCAGCGACTATGCCCCTTTCATTCATTTCCTGGGCGTCTCCTCCATGGACATCGCCTACACCTATGACCGGGTGAGTGCGTACGCCTCTGTCCCCGCCCCCCCTCGGTATGTTGCTCCCCCAGCCCCTTCCTCTCTTAGAGCCTCTCTAATGAGTCTGGCTCACTCACTCAGTAGCTTAAGAAACTTAGCCTCTCTGAGCAACTGTTTACACTCGCCTATGTTATTTTATCCAATTTAAGCTACTACTGATTTTAAGATGCAACACTGTGATATGCACCATTGGCGGGGTGGGGGGGTGCGGCGCGGGGACACACTGCCAGTTAGTTGTAGGATGACATTGAGTTGAAAAGCATCCTGGCTTTTCAGCTCTGCAAGGAGCATGCAACTCTTGATCTTGGGGTCATGAGTTCAAGTCCCACGTTGGACGTAGAGATTACTTAAAAAAATAAAAATCTTAGGGCTCCTGCTTGGCTCAGTCATTAACCTTCAGGTCGTGATCGGGGGTCCTGGGATCGAGTTCCACATCAGGCCCCTGCTCAGCAGGAAGTCTGCTCCTTCCTTCTCCTACTTCCCCTGCTTGTGTTCTCTCACTGTCTTTCTCTGTCAAATAAATAAAATCTTAAAAAAATATAATAAAATCTTAAAACTAAAGAGGCATCCTGATTCGAGATCTTAAAAAATGAAAACATGTTTACCCCAGAATAGATTAAGGAACAGTATGAAACAGGGATGGATTGGTAGCACTGGTGTGCAGGGTGAAAGGAGGTAAGGGATATGGAGTGTCCAGCTTTGTCTCCCTGCCTGATGCTCCAAAAGCTTCTTCAACCCCTCATGGCCCTACCGCTCCTGGGTGGTAGAGTTGGGATTGGAATCCTCTGATTGGAATCCCGAGCCTTCCCCTTCATATGAAATGAGAAACTGGCCACTGACCCAGCTTGGCCACTATTAGCTGTGAGGTCAGGCAGATAATTTAATCAGTTTCCTCCTCTTTAAGTGGAGTTCTAGAACCTAACATGGCTGTAGCAATGATTTGAGATAATGTCCTTCTGCTGTAGCTCACTGTTGGTACATCCCCCCCGACCCCCTTCTTATCCCAAGCCTGTCACCGTGGCTTTGTTCCCCTAGAGCAAGACCTCAGCCAGGATCTACCCCACTTACCACACAGCCTTCGACATCTTTGGTTACGTGGACAAATTTGTGGACCCTGGTGAGGAGGGGGCGGGCAAGGGGAATCCTGAGGTTGAGGGAGGAGGGACCGAAGACTGAGCCCTGGCCTGGTCACCCTACCCGCAGGCTTCAGCAGCCACCAGGCTGTGGCCCGGACAGCAGGGAGCGTGCTTCTTAGGCTCAGCGACAGCCTTTTCCTTCCTCTGAACGTCAGTGACTATGGAGAGACCCTCCGAAGTTTTCTGCAGGCTGCCCAGCAGAACCTGGGGGACCTGTTGGAGCAGCACAGCATCAGCTTGGGTATGGAGTCCCCTTGACATGGAGGTGTGGGGAGCTCTGCCCTCCAGGGCTAAGATGCTGGCTGTTCCCCACAGGGTGTCTGGTGACTGCAGTGGAGAAATTTGAGGCTGCAGCCGCGGCCTTGGAGCAGCACCGATCCGTGCTGCAGAAAGGCTCCCCTGAGTGAGCAAGGGCACTAAGCAGGTGTCTGGGAGGGCGGCATCTGGGGCAGGAGGCAGGCTGGCCACTGGGCTGCTGGTTCCGGGGTGACAAAGGTCCCACCGCTTCCAGCCCCCTGCAGGTCCGGATGCTCAACGACCAGCTGATGCTCTTGGAGCGGACCTTCCTAAACCCGAGAGCCTTCCCAGAGGAACGCTACTACAGGTGAGCCTGTTCCAAAGCTCTTGGGAGGTACAGTGTGGGTAGGCTGGCCAGAGGCAGCCACTGGAGGGAGGAGGAGCTAAGAGATTTCCTGGCCTTTAGAGCACAGCCCAGCCCCTTGAAACAGTTGGGGAATCAGGCTCAAAGGACGGGTGCAAATCTGTCAAGGTCACCTTGGGACTATAAGCGGTCTCTCACCACCACTGCTTTAAGGGTCCCAGATTTCAGAGGCAGTGGGGAGGCGCCTCTGTGCCTTGCTATGTACAGATGAGCCCGTTCCAGGCTGAAGCCCCTCTCTTTCCTGGTCCCTGAGTGACTATGCTTCCCCCACGTCTCCTGTCAGCCATGTGCTCTGGGCACCCCGCACCAGCTCTGTAGCCACATTCCCCGGCCTGGCCAATGCCTGCTCCCGGGCCATGAACACCAGCCTTGGATCGGAAGCCTGGGCTGAAGTGCGGAGGCAGCTCAGCATCTTGGTGGTGGCCCTGGAGGGTGCAGCGGCCACCCTAAGGCCTGTGGCTGACCTCTGACCCCAGCTCCCCACGGCCTTCAACCTGACGTTCTCCCACTCCAGTTTTCCTTGGGTGTGTCCCAGTCTTCCTTGATGCCAACCTGGGGCCCAATCACGGGACCCTATCAAGCTTCTGAGACAACAGCTTAGGGTCCCACCAGTTGGGGACACTGGATGGGAATGAGATGCTTTCCTCAGGGTATACCCCTACCCTGTCTCAACTCCTCCCTGCCCTCCCCTAAATCAACCAAGCAGAGTTATTGTCCTACAAAACAAATAAAACACTTTTACTGTGTAGGAATTATGAAAAAAGAAACCTGAGGGCTCAGAGCCAGTCCTGGGCTCTGGGAGTGTGCCTGGCTCCTCCTCATGCTGGGGACTTGGGTCTGTCCACACCCTCCTCTTCCTCCTCAGCCATGACCACCTCCTCCAGGGTGCGCCCTGCAAGTTTGCTCCCCACCAACATTTGGCAGGTGCCAGCAGGTGGCAGCCCTTCCTCAGTGTAGCGACCTCTGAGAAACACAACTCTTTCCTGTCCATCCAAGGGCAGTCCGTGGGCCTGGCACAGGTCCCGCGCCTCTTCGGGCCCATCCAGGGCCAGGAGGTGGACCATGAAGCCCAGAGGCAAGGTCTGGCCTTTGGGGGTGCTCAGGGCACGAGCGAGGCGGGCCAGGGCTCCCCGGCGAGCACGGCCTACGTGGCACCGGACAGCACAGCTCTGCAGGTAGGGCAGGACGCGGAGCAGGCGGAACAGGCGGGCGGCGTTGCCCTCTCGAAAGGCTGAGTCCACAGCCAGGGCCCGGCGCAGGGCCGGGCAGGAACGAAGGGCGTCAGGCAGCTGCAGGACCTCATGCAGGGCCTCCACGGAGCCTGTGAAGGCAGAAGCCAGGGTGAGCAGAACTTTTCTTTCCCATACCCGGCCACCTTCCATCCCGTCCCGTTAGGCCTCCCCGATCTCTCCTCCCAAAGGCTCGGTCCTCAGCCAGGCCCACCTCCCGCCTACAGCCAAGCGCACCTCCGACCTTGGCCCGCCCACCTTCCACTTTGGCCACGCCCCTCCCCTGGGCCAAGCCCACCTTCCCGCGGGATTTTTTCCAGCAGCCCCCTCCAGAGTCTTATCCGAATGAGTTGCCAGAGCCCCTTCAAACAGTCTGGTTCCTCATAACGAAGGGAGGCACTGTTTTTGGATGAGGGAGACAGGCCCAGATAAGTTCACGACTTGTCCGAGGGCTGTCTCAGAGTTCCGATGTAATAGAATTTGACACAACAAAATCCAAGTTTTCTGGATTTTTCTTCAAATCCACAGCCCTTTCTCCACTTGCCCTAAAAAGCTGGCTCAGGTGTCCACCCGGTTAAGGCCTTTTCTTCGAGGACATTCTGCCTCTGCTTCCCCTCCAGGAGAATCATGGACATTAGAACCTTGGACCACTTTTGTAAACTGAGGCTTCTGACCCATTAGTGGGGTTTGAAACCAAGAGCATCTTATTACAATTAAATACGACAGAGAATGCACCGTCCATTCATAGGAAGGATGTAATGTCTTGAAACTTGTGTGTCAGGTATATTCTTGGCTGTTGTGCAGTACTGAACAGGGAGTTAAAAAAAAAAGTTTGAAAATCACTAGGCCAATCTTTCCAACCCCGTCCTCTCCACTTTTATTACCCCCCCCCCAAAATTGAGACACAAATAGGGGAAGGGACAGGCCAGAAGGCCCACGTGGGGGTTCAGTGGATCCTGTGCATTGACTCGACACACATTTAGAAGGCAGGGATGGGGAGGGAGCTAATGGTGAGATTGCAAAGCTTCTCTTTCCTTCCCCGGCCTCCACTGTCCCCACGGAGGCACCACCCCTACCCCGTACCGCCGCGGAGACCCCGACTCACCCAGATTATAGAGCAGAAAGAGACCCTGGAAGGCGGCCTGGCGGGGATGAGGCCCGGCGCCCTGCGCGTAGCAGCGCCGCAGGGAACCGAAGCCCTCCTGCACCTGGGCCTGCAGCAGCACCGGGTCCGCCGGCCCGCGCGCCCCGTCCGGCCCCAGCCGCGCCACCACGGCCAGCAGCACGGCCAGCGCCGCCTCCAGCACCGCCGCCGCCTCGGCGTCGCCCGCGCCCTGCAGGGCCAGGTCCAGCCGCACGGCGCGCAGCCGGTCCGCCACGAAGTTGGCCACCTCGGCGCAGGATGCGTCGTCGCGCTCGGCCACCTCGCCGGCCAGGTAGCGCACGGTGGCCAGCAGCACGGACGGCGGACGCAGCTGGCTCGGCAGGGGCCGCGCCTTGCCGGCGGCCGGCCGCTTGTACTCCTTCACGGCGCGCTGCGGGTCCGCGCGGGGCGGGTCGCTGCCGCACCCCGGCGCCACCTCGAAGCGGTGGAGGCGGCGCTCCTTTTCGCGCTCGGCGCGCTCGGCGGCCGGACACATGTCTGGGCAAGTGCCCATGGGCAGCTCGCAGCCGGCCATGGCGGCGCTGAGGGGAAAGGATAGGGACTCAACATCCCGGAGACTAAGGCGGCCGCTCGCCCCATTCTACGCGAAAGCCGGCGGAGGGCGGGCGGAGCTCGAGCGCCAGGGCGGACGGATCCCAGCTGGGCCCCGCCTACCCGCCCTACCGGGCTCTCGCCGTCCTCTCACCGAGTCTTGTCCCCTCCCACAAGGCCTGGAGTAGGCCTCCCGAGACACCCTGCGTAGTAGTTCAGCGCCGCCACTGCCGACTCAGGCGCCGCCAAAGCGCCCAGGATGCACCGCGCCCAGCCCAGCCCAGCCCACTCCCATGATGCACCAGCCTGTAGTCCCTTCCGCAACCAATCGCTTTGCCGGAGAGGCGGAGGAGCCGTGAAGCCACGCCCTCCGGGCTTCAGCTCGCCAAACCGTGAAACCTCGCGCTTAGCTTTTGGGCACCTCCCAAGATGGGTAACCCCAGTTTCGGTTCCTCTTCATCCTCCCCTTCACCCAGTAACCTGGCTCAATGGGCCTTACTGTCATTTTCTACTCGTTTCCCTGGAGACTGTTCTCCCCATTTTCTAGATCAGGGGTCAGCAGACTTTTTCTGCAAAGGCCCAGATAGTAAGTGCTTTGGGATTTGCAGGTCGCAACTGGGCAACTCGGCAACTATTCACCTCTGCTGGTGCAGCGGAGAAGCAGCCACAGACAGTATCAAGTGAATGAATCTGACCGTGTTCCAACAGAATTTTATTTTCAATACTTAAATTTCATGTAATTTTCATCTGCCACAGAATACTACGCTTCTGATCTTTTTTCAACTATTGAAAAATGTAAAAACAATTCCAGCTCATGGGCCTTACCAAAAAAAAAAAAAGCCTTGGGCAGGATGCAGCTGCAGGCCATGGTCAGCAGACCCCGGTTCTAGATGGGTGAACTGCTAGCTCAGGACCAGGGGTGCGGCCCCCACAAGATACACAGGCGGGATCAGAAGTGTTTTGTCCTGATTCCAAAGTGGCAGTGCGGTCAAGGAGCTCTGAATTCGTATTTGTCTCATTGTTGGTCCAGTTACATACAGAAATGACCCCTAGAGTTACAAGACCAGGACCCTGGGCCAGGCCCCAGGGAGCGTGAAAAGGAGTGGCTGGCAGTGCTGGAGCTAGAGTCCTGGGCTGGGGTTCACTCCTCCTCAGGAGGGGAGCTGGGACAGGTGCTTGTGCAAGATTTCTTCCGCTCTCTTCAAGTACTCAGCTGCCTTCTTCTTCACACCCTCCCGGCGGGCAGATGATGGGTCACCTGTGGAGAGAGAATGGCTCAGCTGAGATCCCTGGGTTCAAAACCCTTAGCCAAGCCCTTAATGGCTCACAGAGCATCAACATGTGTCTCTCCCCACCTCCCTGGGAACCCCGTCTATTTGCCCCATTTTACAAATAAGAAAACTGAGTCCACAGGAGGTAAAGAAACTGCCCCAGGTTATGCAGTTGGTCAGTGGTGGCAATTCTGATCCTTGACTGGTTTGTCTCTCATTTTCCGTTCCCTTCACACCACCACCTAAGACTCCAGGCCTGACCTTCTGCCTTCCAGTCGTACTCACCAGGAACGCCCTGCAGCAGGATGTGCACGCCGTCCCGGTAGCCCTGCAGAGCTGCAGCGAAGGCACCTGCCTTCTCATCCCGCAGAGCCTGGGTGATGAGCTCTGTGGCTTGGCTCAGATAGGTGGGGGCCGGCCGGCCTTCCTCGTCCTCCTCCTGCCCTCCAGGCTCCCAGGGTTCCTGGCCCAGCCTTTCAGACTCTGCCTCCATCGCTGCCAACTCACCCATGTGGGTTGGACTGGGGCCTGCACCTTCTACGATCAGATATGGAGGGCTCAGGCCAGGCTGCCCTCCATTTCCCAGGGCCTGCAACCCATCCCCAGACCTCTCTTGCCCATCAGGGTACCAACCTGCCGCAGATGGAGGGAAGCATTGCCAAAGGAAGTCAAAAGCCATTCATATGTAACAGACTGGCCACGATCGATTTAATTGGTGGAGTTTCTATGCTTTTGTAAAAACAATATCACCTTCTGTCTGTATTAACATTAGTTTGCGGGGTCTGGGTCACTGGACCTACTTCCCTCCTGACTACAGTTGAATCTAAGAATTCCCACCACAAAGTTTAACTGAAGGATGCCAAACCAGGGCAGAAATGCTCCAAACCCTGGAATGTCAGAGTAACAGATGCAGAGAATCTCACATCTTACAACTTCAGCTGAGGACCCAAACAGGAAGACAGTGGGTGGTGGGTATCCTCACATTCCAGAGAGGGCTCGTTATAGACCCCAGGACTGGCAAAAAGGAGGCCAAACATCCCTTCTGCAGCTTATACAAGAGAAGGCTAGGGGTGCCTGGGTAGCTCAGTGGGTTAAAGCCTCTGCCTTCAGCTCAGGTCATGATCTCAGGGTCCTGGAATCGAGCCCTGCATCGGGCTCTCTGCTCAGCGGGGAGCCTGCTTCCTCCTCTCTCTCTGCCTGCCTCTCTGCCTACTTGTGATCTCTGTCTGTCAAATAAATAAATAAAATCTTAAAAAAAAAATAAAGCTTCTTTAAAAAAAAAAACAAAAGGGAAGGCTAGCGATTTGGCCCATCTTTGGAGAAAAGGCCTTTGGCGGGAAGGAGCCAGAAATGGAAGCACCAGGGCGCACCACTGGCCTGGAGGGGGAGGGCGGGCATTTCTTTTAGCTCCAACCCAGTGACCCCGGGAGGAGACTGAGGGGCCTCCTGCAGGAAGTTAAGATGACCTCTCACTTCCCAGCTGGATATACAGCCCTCCCTGTGTTGCTCATGGAGCAGAAGGCAGAAAAGTTCAGGGGATGCCCTAGCCTGAGTTCAAGAGTCTGATGCATGTGTTGAAGACAGAGACAAGTGCCAGCTCCTTGCTTGGATGATTCTGATGGTGAGGGACTGGCTAGAAGTGCCCACAACAGTGGGACAAGGAGGCAACGCAACATCTGAGGGAACCGTACTTCCAGGCTTTGGCAGGGCAGGAGGTGGGGAGTTAAAATTTCCTTCCTTTTTTTTTTTTTTTTTTTTGGATTTTATTTATTTATTTGACAGAGAGAGAGATCACAAGCAGCAGGTGGGGAGGCGGAAGGGGGGCGGGCAGGCTCCCTGCCGAGCAAAGAGCCTGATGCGGGGCTTGATCCCAGGACCCTGAGATCATGACCTGAGCCGAAGGCAGAGGCTTAACCCACTGAGCCACCCAGGCGCCCCAAGTTTTTTCTTTTTAAAGATTTTATTGATTTGTCAGAGAGAGAGAGAGAGAGCAAAAGCAGGGGGAGTGGTAGCAGAGAAAGAGGGAGAAGTAGGTTTCCCACTGAGAAAGGAGCCCGATGCGGGACTCGATTCCAGGACCCTGATGCTTAATCAACTGAGCCACCCAGGCATTCCAGAGTTCGGGAGTTTTCTTATGGGGTGAGGGAATGTCTGATGGGAGCTACTGGCAGGAGCCTTGACAGTTCCAGTCAGAGCATCTGGCCACTGGGCACCCGTGGGGGTTCAACTGGGGCAAGGCAGACAGGTCCCCGTGACACCACTCCCTCCTTTCCCCCTAATCCCTTCTTTCCTATCCCAGCTATGGAGGAGCCCCTGGAACAGGTGGAAGCAGAAAGAGAAGAGTAAAGGGACACTCCTCCCAGGAGAGTGGGGTGGCAGTATGGAGCTGAATGACTGGGCCGAAGACTGAGGTCCTCATTTGGATCGGCCCCGGGGCGGGGAGCGAACCCAGACGCCTGAAACCGATCACAAAGCTGACGGTCTGCCCAGGAGGTCACCAAAGGCCAAAGAAGAAAAGCCAACAAAATGGGCTTCAGAATACGGCAGGATTCCAAACTGAAACCCTTTCACAATGATGAACCCTTTCCAGTGTCTCAGAGCCTGGGACTCTCAGTTCCAGGACCCAGACCTCCACGGGAAGTGGGGAGGCTTCCCCTTCCATGGCAGGTCTGGGGTGCCCCCGCCATGCCTACGCCTCCTGCAAGAGGGCATCCTGTGCTGCTCTCTGAGTCCGAGCCTCACTCCCCTGACCAGAAGCCTGTCCTGCCTTCCGGATCTGCGGTGTGACCCCCAAGCCGGCCAGGACACCCTGACCTTGGGCTTTCAACGGAAGGAACTCAAATACTACCAAGACAGTGTGACCCCTGACTGTTCCAAAGCTTTCTTAGAAGACCCAGCTCTCCCTGAGCAGACCTCCCTTTCCTTCCCCTGTGGTTGCTCACTGTCCAGGGGCATCCAACCCATGGGCCCTAGCAGCAGGGCACCTGCTTCCACTGCTCACTGAGGCTGCCCACTGCCCGCAGGCGCGGCGTGTTTCTAGGATTTACAGGTGCTACGCATGTTGGTCAGAGGCTCTGCCCCCCTCTCCTTGCCCCTACCGCAGCCCCCCTCCGCTTGTCCCAGCTTGTTACCTTCCCTGGAGAAGGGGTCAAAGAGGGCGAGCTCAGCCTCTGTGAGGGGGCCTCGGGCAGGGGAACTGGACGCCTCCTCGGTGCTCCCGCAGTTAAAAAGGAGATCCAGGGCCTCCTGGGCAGGGCTGGACGGTGGGAGATCCACTGTGGAACCAATCATTGGGGACATTCATGCCTATCCTTATCATTTCCCAGCTTTCAAAATGCAGTTACCCTCTTACTAACTCCTTGTGGCGCCCAAGGGCATAGACAAGCCCACTCTTCACATGGGTTGTACCCCTTTTACAGATGAAGAAACTATAGCCTAGAGAAGGAAAATGGCCTGGCTAGAGCTTCTCAGCACTTTAGCAGCAGAGGAGCTGGGACAGACCCCAGAATTTTTACTAAGCTCACGGAGGAGGGAGTGTGTCCTCTCCAACACCCCCAGGTCCTCCAGCCCTGGCTCCCATTCCGACAGAGATGTACCTGGCACCTCCAGTTCCTCCAGGCCTCTCCTCTCCGCAGGGAGCGGCTGGGGCAACCAGGGCTCCTCAGGGGGTGGCGTGGGCATCAGAGGGGGTGGCAGGATGTGGAGGTCTCTGGACATGTCGGAGGGCCGGGTCACCTCCCCACCCTGCAGAAGAGAAAGACAGGGACGGGCAGTGGGGAAGGGGGGATGGCCTCAGGGTGCAGCCCAGTGGGCAGGGAGCTCTCCCAGGCGCTGGGGAGGGGAGACAGGCAGCGACACATACCCGGAAGAAGGCCTGGAGCTGCGGGCTGTTGTTGAGCGCAGGGATGTGCACAGTGAAGCGAAGCAAGTCCTCGGCCCCCTTCCGCCGCTCTTCAATCACTGAGGCCTCGAACCGGCCTGCAGCCCCCAGGATGAGAAATGGGGAGAGAAGCAGTGATCCACAGGGGTCACTTACCTTCTTCTGCCACGGAGGATCCCAGCAGCCAGTGGCTCTCCTCCCCATTCTCCCAGCAACCTTCCCGAGCTCCCCCAAGGGGGCAGGGACCAAGCTCCCTCGTCCTCCGTGTACCAGATGTTTATCAAGCACCTACTACGGTGCGAGGTTCAGCAGGTGAATGGGAGGAGGGCACGGTGTCCGCTGTCACAGGTTCACATCTCAGACAGGGGAGGTGGGCAACCCGCAAGAAACAAAATAATTTCAGATGGCTCTGATGCAACAGAGAGGAACGTTAAGACTCAGGGAGGAGGGGGCGCCTGGGTGGCTCAATGGGTTAAGCCGCTGCCTTCGGCTCAGGTCATGATCTCAGTGTCCTGGGATCGAGTCCCGCATCGGGCTCTCTGCTCAGCAGGGAGCCTGCTTCCCTCTCTCTCTCTCTGCCTGCCTCTCTGTCTACTTGTGATCTCTCTCTGTCAAATCAATAAATAAAAATCTTAAAAAAAAAAAAAAAGACTCAGGGAGGAGAAGTGACTTGCCTAAGGTCACACAGCAAGCGGCTGCTTTTTCCCATTCTCCCTGCTCTGTTCTAGGTATGCTGCAGAATTAGCTACCTCGGACCTAGCAGCCGGCTACAGTGCCCACAGCCTGGCATCACCCGATCACCCGCCGGCAGCAACCCTTCACCTTGCTGTGAAAGAGTATCTCCCGCTAGTCTAGAGATCCAAACAGCAGATCACTCCTGTCCACCAGAAATACGTCATGAGTGGCATGTGCAATTACTAATTTTCTCTTAGCCACGTTAAAAAGAAACAGGTTAACTCAACTTTAGTAATACATTCCACCTAACCCGGTATATCTGAAATAGTCTCATCTGCACGTGTGATCGATATATAAATTATCGCCACAGTGTACAGTCTATTTCAGTGGGCATTAAACCCATACGGCAATCCCCGGCTCAGACTCACCACCTCTGGCTCACAGCTGCTGCTTCTGGACAGCGTGGGTCTAGAGGTGACACCAGCTCCTGGAGAGGAATTCTGGTTCTGCCACTGACAGGCCAAGCCCCTTTAGGACCCTGAGCCTCAGCTGCCTTGTCCTGGAAATGGGGCTAAGGAAGACGGACTGCTGAAGGGCTCCACACACACTGAAGGCTAGGCTGCTCCGAGCCTGCCTCAGTTTCCCCAGGTGTGAAATGAGGCTGTCTCTAAGGGCCCCCCCAAGAAGTGCTTCTGCTGGAGGTTTTGGGGCCCCATCAGGCTCCCTCCACCAGCAGGGGTCCCCTCTGCCCACCTCTTCCTCCATCTCTGGCCTGAATGCCTAGGTCAACACTCACCGAACACCTGGGCGCGGGGGAAGGCCGGGAACTCCTCCAGGCGGCGGAAGAGGTTGCGGTGGGTGTAGGCCAGGTCCCCGTGCAGCTTGCGGAAGTCGCTGTACCGCTTCCAGACCACCACCTGCCAGGGACGCAAGACTTGACCTAGGCTGGCAACGGTGGCGGAGGAAAGAGGCTTTCCCCATTCCCAGCCTGGAACAGCACATGCGTGCCCGTGTGCGTGTGTGAGTGCGTGCCTGTGCGTATGCGTGCGTGCCTGTGTGCATGCGTGCTTGTCTGTGTGCGTGCCTGTATGCGTGCGTGAGTGCGTGCCTGTGTGTATGCGTGCGTGCCTGTGTGCGCATGCGTGCGTGGCTTGGGGCACAGCGCCAGCTCCTCCCAGGGCTGAGGAGTTACCAGCTGTTCCTTTGCTGCTCCTGCATCTGGACCTGGGGAATGGTCCCCCTTCCTCCCAGGAGCCTCACCTCTTTGACATCCTCTGGGTCCTTCTTTGAGATGAACTGAGGAAGAAAGGCAAGAACCAGGTGAGATCAGAGACTGACATCTGACACCCCATTTCCCAGTAAAATCCAGCGACGCCCCAGGTACCTCCCAGCCCTCATCGTGGCCTTTGGCTGTTGGCCACTGGTATCAAGGGGTCCTGGCTTCAAGGCTTTGTGTCATCTGAAGCAGTTTTTCTATCACGTGCTAGTTTTTTCATCTGCCAGATGGAAGGATCCCATCCAGACCCCTTGGTCCTCAGCCCAACTTTTATCTCAGTTCCTTCACAAATTTGCATGTCATCCTAGCACAAGGGCCACGCTGATCTCTGCATCGTTCCCATTTTCTGTGTGTGCTGCCGAAGCGAGCCCTATCTCCCTTCCTTCGAAGGCCCAAGTCCCTGCATCTCCTTCTGAAACTAGAGACCCTCCAGTTCTCTAAAGAGTGAGGTTCTGTCCCAGGAGCCACTCCTTCCTTAAGTGAGAAGTCTCTGTGGGCAAACACTCCTGAATGCGGAAGACAGCATCACTGGGGTTGCGACTCCTGGAGGAGAAGACTGGGGTCTGAGCTGGAAAGAAGACTCTGTACTCACTATGGTGTATTCATAATAATTAGAAAATAACACTACAGCGTGGACTACTTGATAGTTTTCTAGAATCCCCTTTTAATTATCCTAGATCCCAAGGCAGCAGATACGATTAATATGCCCATTTACCAGATGAGGAAGTGGAGGGGCAGAGAGGGGACGTGACCTGTGCAAGATTACACAGCACATTTTGCAAATGACCTATCTGATAATGAGCTGATATCCAAAATATATAAAGAACTCCTACTCAACACCAAAAAACTGAAACAATCCAATTTAAAAATGGGCAGAGGGGGGAGCCTGGTGGCTTAGGTCATGATCTCAGGGTCGTAAGATTGAGTCCCATGTAGGGCTCCGTGCTGGGTGTGGTGCCTACTTAAGATTCTCTCTCTCTCCCACTCTTTCTGTATCCCCCACTGGGTCAAGGAAGGAAGGAAGGAAGGAAGTAAAGAAGGGAGAGAGGGAAGAAGGAAGGAAGGGAGGTAGGGAGAGAGGGAGGACACGAGTAAAGGTAACTAAATCCCAAAAAAGTGGGGGCAGAGGACCTGAATAGATGTTTCTCCAAAGAAGATATACAGATAAGCAACAAACACATGAAAAGATGCTCCGTATCAATAACCACCAGGGAAATGCAAATCAAAGCCACAATGAGATACCACCTCATGCCAGTCAGAACAAAAATGTAAGAAATAACAACTGTTGGTGAAAATGTTGTAGATACAGACGATGGAGTATTACTCAGCCATAAAAAAGAATAAAATCTTGTCATTTGTGCCAACATGGATGGACTGAGAAGATACTACACTAAGTGAAATACGTCAGACCCAGAAAGACAAACACTACGTGATTTCACTGATATGTGGAATCTAAAAAACAAAACAAAATAAACAAAACCAGGAACAGACTTATAAATACAGAGAAGAAACTGGTGGTTGCCAGAGGGGATGCGGATGGAGGGAATCAGTGACACAGATGAAGCAGATTAAGAGGTACAGACTTCCAGTTTGACTATAAATAAGTCATCGGGATGAAAAGTACAACACAGGAAACACAGTCAATAATACTGCAATAACTTTGTATGGCGACGGATGGTGAAATACACTTACCATGGTGAGCATTTCCTAATGAAGAGAAATGTCAAATCATTATGTTGTGCACCTGAAACTAACATAATATTGTAATATTCTATGTCAACTGTACCTCGGTTGAAAATAAAAATGAGAAAAAAAAATCACATACCAAGTAAGAGGGACTGCTAGGCTGGGACCAAAACCCTGGCCTTTGCTTTTCATGCCAGAGTCAGCCTGAAATATCTTGGGTAGAAGAAACTAGATTTAAAAACTGCTCAGGAATATATATGCCTGACAAAGAAGTCAGATCTAGAATATAGAAAGAACCAGAGATCAGTACTAAAGACAAACAACTCAACTTTCAAAACTGGGCAAAATATGTGAGCAGGAACCTCCCACAAAAGAAGGTGTTTGAATGGGCAGTAAGATAACGAAAATATGGGGGCGCCTGGGTGGCTCAGTCAGTTAAGCGTCTGCCTTTGGCTCAGGTCATGATCCCAGGGTCCTGGGACTGAGCCCTGATTTGAGCTCCCTGATCAGCCGGAAGCCTGCTTCTCCCTCTCCCCCTCTGTGATCTCCCTCACTTTCATGCTCTCTCAAATAAATAAATAAAATCTTAAAAAAAAAAGATGAGAATATGCTCAATATCATTAGTCATCAGAGAAATGCAAATTATACTCCAATGAGATATCACACACCCACCTACCTAAAACGCCGAAAACTGAAGATGCTTAAATACTCGTGAGAATGGGAGTATAAAACGGTACTTTGAAGTACTGTACCACTTTGGAAAACTGGTAAATTCCTTCTTTCCTTCCCTTCCTTCTCCTCCACTCCCTTCCCTTCCTTCTTTTGTTTTTTTAATGATTTTAAAGCAATCTCTACACCCAACGTGGGGCTTGAACTCACAACCCTGAGATCAAGAGTTGCATGCTCTAGGGTGCCTGGGTGGCTCAGTTGGTTTAGCGACTGCCTTGGCTCAGGTCATGATCCTGGGGTCCTGGGATTGAGCCCCACCAGGCTCTCCCTCCTCTGTAGGAAGCCTGCTTCTCCTTCCTCTGCCTGCCTCTCCCCCTGCTTGTGCCTTCTCTCTGTCAAATAAATAAATAAGATCTTTTTAAAAAAAAGAGTCACACACTCCACCAACAGAGCCAGCCAGGCACCCCGGAAGCTGGTACTTTAAAGAGATGACCTAGAGAAAAGTTCCTGGAGAAGATAGGGTAGCACACTTAACATCTCAGAGGCACAAAGAGGAGCCCTTGGAGATAACAGGGGAGGTTTAGGGATCAGTAAAAAAAAAAAAAAAATTGGCCAACTTTGAATTTTCCGGAGCCTCACCTGTGGTCCTATAAAGACTCAAGGTGTAAAACAAGGACAGCTGTTTTTAATTCCTCAGGGAATTAAAAGATATCAGAAGACTGATCGATCCATTTTTGTTGGAAAGTTCTTCTGTCCCTTTGGGTACATTTAGCATAGGGGTAAAGGCCAAAAAACAAAAACAAAGACAACAAGAAACAAGTTCTTATCAGGCTCTGAATATCAGCCACCAACCTGGCCAACTTCCAACCACAGAGCTACTTAAACACTCTTTTAAATATTTTGTCAGTTTCAGCTAGGATGAACAGCAAAGGGCACCTGGGAAACGTAATTTCTAGGACAACTACATATGTAGCTATCAAATGACTGAGCAATCCCACTCCTAGGAAAAATGGGTGCACAGGGTGCACACCAAGGAAAAATGGGTGCACGGGTCCCTAAAAAGACTTGTACATGAGTATTCACACAACTCTACTCATAACAACTAAAAAATTTTTTAGACACAACTCAAAGTCCATCAAAAGGAGAATGAATAAAGAAATGGTGGTATATTTCTACAAGGGACTACTATCACATGGCAATAAAACTTACACATGCAACAACATGGATGAATTCCAAAAACATTACATAGAGAGTGAAAAATGCCAATTACAAGTACTTGCTGTGTAATGATTTTATTCGGATGAGGTTCAAGAACCAACAAAACTACTCTTATAGTGAAAGAAGCCAGGACAGTGGTTACCTCTGTGGGAGGAGAACTATAGATGGAAAGATACAAAGAAAGTCTCTGGGGTGAGGAAATGTTTGTATCCTGATCTGAGCACTGCCTACGCAGATCTATAGGTATGAGAAAATTACTGAGCTGTACACTTAGGATTTATGCACATTACTTATACAACTTATGTCTCCGTTTTAAAAAATTTACAAGGGGAAACAACAAAAAACTGAGGAATACCGCCATGTGACTTGCGGAGCTGTGCGTAAATGATAAACTGGATACTCATATCTGCTTTTAAACGTAGGGTTGCTGTGCAAGGATAAACAAGGAATTAGCAGCATTGGTTCTCACCAAGATGGCAGACGAACGGGGATAGTAAAGGAGGGAAAACTATTTCTCTTTCAAAGTCATAAAAACATACCGATGTAATGCATGTTACTTGCTTAAAAGCAACAGAAAGATTTATAGGAAAAGGTTTAAGTCCCTTGCCGCACCCTTCCCACCCCAGTCCGGTCTTCCTAGGGACTGTGTGTGTGTGTGTGTGTGTGTGTGTTTGCAGAGGCAAGGGAGACATAAAAAATATGGGGAAAGCTGTTTTAAACATCTAAGATTCTGCACTTAAATCGCTCTGGAAGGAGGGTCTTTGTGTTTTCACTTCCCTTTAATAGTTACTAATGCATCAGTTTAATAGTTGCCTAGTTTAAAATGCGAAAGGTACGAAACAATTTACAGTGAAAAGTCTTCCCCCAACCAGTTCTCGGGTATCATTCTGCAGATAAATTTTATACCGTTCCTTTTTTTAAATTTCTCATAGTTTCCTCCCTGTATCTATAAAATCTGCTTATAACGTTGTTACTGCTTCGTAATCAACTTTAGTCTTTATTGACTTCCTGCTGTGACCGTGAAGACAGAGACTTGAAAATTTCTCCGGAGCTGTACGAATTTTTAGGCATAGATAGGTTTGTTTGTTTTTTTTTAATTAAACTCTTTTAAAAGGGGTTTTTATGTAAATATCAAACAAACCAGTTAACACAACTTACTCCAAGAGACTGGAGAAATAACTAAAATTTGGACGGAGCCAGAGTTTTCGCGTTAATTTAAAGAAATTCACAGTCTAATGAGCAGACACCACACATTGGGCGTGGGAACCCACCCCTCGCACTCCAAGAAGCTGCTGTCCACGCCCTTTTAAAAGGACAGCGCCCTTCCAGAGCCGCACCCCCTCCCAACCAGTTAAAGAAGTAAACGCAGGCTCCTACCGCAGCCTCCTCTTAAAGGGGAAATGCATTTCTGCCATCTAGAAAGGGAGCGTCCAGCAGTGCCTTGCCTTAAAGTAAAACACTGCCCCCCCTTGTTAAAAGGGTAAAGGTCCCCTCCGGGCCCCACCTCACCTGCGCGGTCACTTTATACTCGGTGTAGCCCTTGGGGTGGGTCCGGGGGTCGGAGACTGTGTAGTGCCGCAGGAAGTCGTCCTTCGCCTGGCGGGACATGGCAGCCGAGCAAGAGTAGAGCTGATCGCCGGCCTCTGCCTCCTCCACGCCGCCCCCGCCCCTCCGGGTCAGTCTCTGCCAGCCGCCGCCGCTCCGGGGCCAGCGCCCGCCTCCCTCCGTCCCAGGGAGCCGGTCGCAAGTGACGGCGCAGTTCTCGGCCGCGGTGTGCGGCCAGGGAGCGTCTAAAAAGTTCTCGGTGGCTGGTAAAGCGTAAACTAGGTGATTTGAGAGTTAAGGACCGGGGAGGTTGGATCACTCCGCTCTGACCAACGTTTAAGCCCGCCCCAGCCTACGTGTCCAAACGACTTCACCTCTGCTTCCCGGTTCCCTTCTTTTGGCTACCCACCTAACTTGTTATCGTGTCCAGTGCGTGCCAGGTGTAGCCAATCATTTCCCTGTCTCCTTCCATAGGATTCGCTAGTTCATGTTTTCTGCAAGGGTAGAGGGGGCAAAATTGACCTCCAGAGCAGCAGAATGGCTTCACAGGTTCTGAAGTCACACTTCTTACCGGCTGCGTGAGTTTCCCTTAACTACTGGAGCCCAAGTTTCTCATCTCTAGAATGTTTATAATGTTTATGATAGGAGATATTTTAATAGAATCTACTTCAGAGGATGACTCTTTTTTTTTTCCCCTTCTTGGTCTGTCCACCGCCCCTTCTCCATTAGAACCATATCTTCGGAGGTGGTTCTGTCTAGGTGTAGCCCTTCGGCTTCCTACCCTAGAATCCAAAGATGCCAGCTCCTTGCCCCAGGTCCTGTGTGGGGCAGGTCTCTTCTGAAGCCTGAATCTTGAGTTTCTTGAGTGAGGGATAGAGGGCACAATGCAAGGGCCAAGGGACCACTTTGTTCCTGATGTGCACTGTTGGCTGCGGATTGAGCCTCTGGGCACTCTGCTTTCCAAACCTGATGTCGGGCATCCGGAGTCTGCCATCAGGATGCTGTGAGTTCTTAGTATCCTTCCAAGAACCATCCTTTCTGCTGAAGGTGGTTGTGATCCGTGTCTAGGGCAGGCCGCTGGGGACCCTGACCAATACCAGGACAGCCAGGTTGTGAAGGTTCATAGCGGTAGTGTGTGGGTTAAGGCTCACGGCCACTCTTACAGGGGACACTGTATGGCTAGTTTCCAGAAAGATACAAAGCCAACTCCCAAATGAGACTCGTGGAAACATGGGGTAGATTATCCAGGAGCTTAGATGGGGTGGTGTCCCCTTGAACAACACACACACACACACCTCTAGAAACCCCTTTTAGCATCACTTTTGTTCTCTCAAGCTCTCCCAGCAGGACTGGCCCCAAATCTCTTTCTTGCCCATCATTCTCTCCCCTCCCTGGCTCTGCATTGCATTTCCCAATTCCCCAATTCACTTCTTCTTCTCTTTTGCTCTGTCTCCTCCAAGCCCATTCCTATTTAGATCAGTCCCCCCCAACCCCCCTACCCCCCCCCCCCCACCGCCTTCGGACTGGACTCCAACTCCACCATTTCCATCACCAGAAAAAGCAAACAAAAGAGCCCTCTCCGTGGGTAGGAGAGAGGAAAGCTGCAAAGGCACAGCTGCCAGCCCAGCTCCCCACATTCCCACCCTTGCGTGCCTGACCACAGGATGCAGACTTGCTGCCACAGCTCAGACACCCCCTCCCCTCCACAGGCCTTGGTAATGAGTACAACCTTGTTATTTCCTTGTCTCCAACCATGCAGAATTCATGCTTTAAACCAAGAATGCTGCTTACTAAGCTTTGAGCAGAGACAAAAACCTGGAATAGTATGGTGTAGTCGTTGAAAGTGTTGGGTCCATATCCCAGCTCCCCCACCTCCTCGCTGGGTGGCTTTGAGCAAGTCATTCTCTCCCTCCTGGAGGCTCAGTTCCTCTACAGAAGGGCTCCAGAGAGTCTGTACTGCTGAGGGCTCTTCTTCAATGTGATGATACCGGGAAGAGCTTCGAACAGAACCCAGCGTTGTTAGCGGCCACCGGTAGGACCAGGGTAGGGAGCCCTGTGAAAACAGCCACCTGTCCGGACATCTGTGGGGCAGCCCTGCTCCGGAGAGCGCCTTAGTCTTCAGAAGACCCTTCCCTGCTCTGTCTGCTTAGCAAGCTCTGCTTGACCTTGTCCTCTTACACCTGAGTCCTCTCCCCTCCCCACTTCCAAGAGTCCTTGAGCGTCATTTCTCCGTCACGTGGTTCCCACTGCTTGAGCCAGAGCTGCCCGCAGAGCTGAACAGGCAGTTCACTGCCTCTGGGTTCCTGGCTGTGGTGGGGAGTTGGGAGCTGAAATTCAGCCCGTTTTCCATTCAGCAAGTCATGAGCCCTGATGGGGGGCTGTGTCCCTTTTCCTTATTAACTGTTACCGTAAACTGCCCCTTCCCCTTCCTCTACATAGAGAACTTCTACTTGGCCTTCACACCCCATGTTAAGGTCACTTCCTCCAGGAAGCCCGCCTGGACTCTTCCAAATGGAATTAGTTTCGGCCCCCGGCCTGTGCTCCTGTAATTCTTCATGTGTCCCTCTGACACAGCAGCAGTGAACCCTCTGACTGGAACGACCTGTTCCTTTCGGTGCCCTGCTACTCTGTGGGCTCCTGGGGGTCTCGTAGAGCTGTGGAAGCAACAAACGACTCTACCAGGAACTGGGGCAAGGAACGGTTTATTCTCACAGCGGAGTGAAGGGTGAGGCCCAAGCCTTGGTAGCAGCAGAGGCAGCCCCCTCCCGGCCCCAGCCCTGTCCCTTCAGTATGGCAGCTGCCCGCAGTGGGTCGGGAGGCAGGGTGACAGCCTGGGGCCACAGAGCAGCAGTGGGCGGCATTAGCAGCAGCGGCAGGTTACAGGGTGGGGTCGGGGCATTGGTCAGGCTGGCTGACTCCCATACCCCCATGGATGGTGCCTGAGGAGGGCTGGGGTGGGGGTGGGGGAGGGCCGGATTGTGAGGTGGGGGGCATCCGGAGGGGTTCAGTCAGCTGTGAATATGCGGCTGGAAATGTCATCCAGGAGCCAGTCGACACCGAGCAGGAGGTTCTCACCGGTGACGGCACTACAGCCCCGGATGCACCAATGGTGGCTGTGGATGGAGTCCAGTTCCAGGGCCTGGAGAGGTGGGGGTTGGGGAGGGAGAGAGCAGGGAGGGACCCCCGGTGATCACAGGCCCTGCCACCCACAGCCCCTTCCCCTCTCCTGGCCCAGGAGAAATCCGGGCCTCCCTCAAAGGCTCTCAGAAGTACCCCCCTGGTCCCTGGTGAAGATTCATCAGCCCCTCAGAACCCTTGGGCCCTGTGTACACCCCCAGACCAGCACTACCCCTCAGTAACAGCACAGCACCTGCTGTGGATCCAGGAGCACCTGCTAGGATCCAGGCCTTGTGCTCTGTGCCACACAAACATCCTCCCATCCATTCTTTCCAAATCCCAAGGAGCCACGGGGATTGCTGGCCATTTCATGGAGGAGAACACCTCAGAGAGGTCAAGCAACCTGCCTAAGGTCACATAGCTCGTAAGAGACAGAACCTGAGATTCTAACCCCACTCTTTCTCATGCTGGTGCGCACGCTCTACATAGGAGGCAGGTTACAATCTGGGGTCCCAAGGGCCGGCACGGGAACCCTGGCTCTGCATGACCTCGCTTCTCTAAACCTGCTTCGCCCTCTGCAGGATTGTAATGGCTCCTCCTGCAGGAGCCGGGGGTGAGGACTGAAGGGGTTCGTCCACACCAAGATCTGGCACAGAATGAGGATTCACCACTGGGCCGGCCGCTGTTACCCTGTAGGGTAAGGTTTGCATGTCTGCCTTCCCCCAGCCTGGGGCGGGTAACAGCTAGCTCTTGTTAATCGCTCAATCTCCAGTGTCCTGCATACGCCCTGCCCCAGAAGAGTAGCTAACACATGCTTTTTAAATAAGTTAACCAAGAAATGTGGGCCCCTTTTCCTCCATGGGCCTATGCCAAGGCCCGCACTCACCTCACGGATGGCGTTAGAGGACAGTGCTCCGGGCAGGTCCTGCTTGTTGGCAAAGATGAGGAGGGTGGCTCCAGCCAGACGCTGGGGGGAGAGAAATGGGGAAGGTGGGGAGTGGGGACTCAGAGGGCAGCCCCGCCTCTCCTCTGATCACCCAGAGCAGGCGGGGTCAGAGAGCAACCCGGAAAATTAGGGTAAGGCCTCAGGGTGGTTGGAGAGGCCCAAACAGGGTAATGAATGTAGACATGCCTTGTTGAGTCCAACCATATGTGGGGAGGGGGCAGGGAAGGAAGGAGCCTTAGGTGGGGGCCCAGCAGGCACCTCCTCTCTCCTCCAAGCCTCAGTTTCTTCCTCCATAAATGGGAAGGGGGTGATGGACAAGATAATGAGCCCTTTGTTCTAGATTGCTCTGTGATGGCCTGAGCTGTACAAAGAATGCAATCATCCCAAGGCCACGGGGTCTGCTGGGAGTGACCCTTCTGTCTTCCAATGTCATGTAGCACTTCCACTGTTCACTACCCTGCTGGGCCTCTCTCTCTGCCTCTGCTTCCAGTTCCTTCTATGTGTGTTTCTGACTGGGAGTCCCTCCAGGTAGGTAGGTGAATCTGGGCCTGATAAAAGGCGAGATGCAAAAAAAAAAAAAAAAATGCCTTGAGGTGCCAGGCCAGGGCTGAGCACGGACAGCCACGATCTCACTGGACCTGCCTGACACCCCCTGGAGGTGGCTAGTGCTAGACCAGGTGACCGCGCCCCTGTATGCCCAGAATGGTCCTGTTTATGTCTGTTGTCCCTGCATAATTAGGAACAAGTCCCTCTTTCGTTCTTAAAAGTGTCCTGGTTTTCAACTAAATTCAAGTGTTGTAACCTGGATCAAGTCCTGGGGCAGAAAAAAAGAGCATTAATAGAAAAACTGGTGAAATGTAAGTAGAATCTACAGTCAAGAATAACTTGCCAATGTTAATTTCTTTGTTTTGACAAATGCAGGTGGTTATGTGTGATGTTACCACTAGGGGAGGCAGGACGAACAGCAGACAGGGTGTCTCTTCAAACTCCTTGCAACTTTTCTGTAAACCTAAAATTTTATTTAAAGAAAACTGTTTGGGGCCAGATAATGAGTTATATGATCCCCCTAATTCTAATGCCCATCTTAGAAATGAGGACATGAGGGTTCAGAGAGGCTAAGTGTCTTGCCTACAGCAAAGAGTCCAACTCCTGAGCCAGGCTCCACTGCCTCCCAAAGCTTCACACACTGGCCTCGAGTCATCCTCCTTAAAGCCCCATTCAGGTGCAGAACCTGAACTCAGGGCAGTGACATCAGAGGTACATGAACCCAGGTCTCAGTTCATAGCATGTCCTGCCCACAGCACTTTGGGGCTTCCTGGGACCAAGCATACAGGTGGTCTCTGTCTCCTAAAGGGTGCTCCGAGAAGAAAGAGACCCCGCCCTAGGTGTTCCTCTGGGGTCATGGGCCCCTCAGGGAATCCGCTGAGGAAGGGGTTCGCGCATCCACGCCTGGGCACCGAGTCTTGGGGGCTGGATGGCGCTGGAGGCCTGGCGGCCTGGCTTCCCAGGCTTGGCAGGTGCCCCGCCCACCTCCTCCACCAACAGGCTCTGGAGCTCCCGCCGGCAGTCCTGCATGCGTTGGCGGTCAGCGCTGTCCACCACCCAGATGAGGCCATCCGTGCTCTCGAAGTAGTTCCTCCAGTAGGACCGCAGGGACTTCTGGCCACCCACGTCCCAGATGTTCAGCTTGAACCTGGGCAGGAAGGGGGGGTGGTGGCGAGAGGCTCAGCCAGTCCCCTCAACCATGCTCCCTGCCCTACTCCAGGGCCAGCCCTCCGCAGGGTCCCCGCTCACCCTCGGTGTTCCAAGGTCTTGATGTTGAAGCCCAGCGTCGGGGAGATGGTGTCAATGTCTTCCCCATTGAACTTCTTGAGGATGGTTGTTTTGCCAGCATTGTCCAGACCACTGGGGCGTGGCAGGTTAAGGAGAAGTCCCCAGGCCCTTCTTTTAGGGGAGGAGTTGTTTCCCACCACGGATCATATTAGTTGAGCCCGTGCCTGACACACACATTTATTGGCCCAGGATAAGTGGAAAAGGTTGGAGCATTTAAGACTTTCTCATCTCTGCCTAACCAAAGGCTGCTCAGGCTACTCCAAAAAAAAAATAAATTTATTTATTTATTAAATAAATAAATGCTTACTATGTGCCCGGCTCTCTTCTGGTGCCGGGGGTACCCCAGAGCCAAAGTCCCCACCCTGGGCAGCTCCTACTCCAGTACGGAGACAGTCGACAGAGGGCAAACAAATGAGAAACAAGGCACCGTCAGCTCGTGGGGAGCATAAGAAATACAACTAAGGAGTTTTCTCAGAGGACCGCCGCAGGAGCCTTCTTTAGCTGGGGCCCTTCTAGACCTGAGGCCCAAACTGCAAGGATCCAGCTTTCCAGAGGACTAAGGGAAGAGCCTTCCATATAGAGAGAACGGCAAGAGCAAGTATTTGAAGGTAGCCACCCGCACCTGTTTCTAGAATGTTCCAAACCCTTTGCTGCTAAGTTGAGTGTGCAAACGACGGGTGAATTCAGCAGCTAGTGGAGCCCCCCCCCCATCCCATCCTTCCAACACTTAAGAGGGCTGGCACCCGAGAGGGGGCCCAGGGGACTCAAACCAGTAGAATGACGGTGGGAAAAGCTGTCTAGAGGCCCAGCCTTCATCTCCAATGCCCACGCCCCCACCCCACCATCCTCCACCAGACCATTCACATCAGCTGACAAGCTGGAGTCTCTCCCTACAACCGCTCTTGATCCCTCTTCCCCTCTACTTACTCCTTGATTTCTTTCCCTTTATAGCAAATCTCCCCCCAAATGCTATCCATACTCACCCTCTCCCATTTCTGTCCTCCTGCTCTTTCTTGAACCCGTGAGACTTTTGCTCCCACTGCTTCCCTGAAACTGCTCTGGCCAAAGTCCCTAAAGACCTCACGTTCTTCTCCGGCTGGGCGCTCCTCAGCCCCCCTCTTCCTTCCCATCTCCCACCTCCATTCCCTTGCCTGGTTCCCATTGCCCCAGCCTATTATCCAGGCATGCCTCAGTGCTCCTCTGTCCACATTCATCCCTTAGTGCTCTCACCCAGGATCACGACTTCAAATACCATCTTTATGCTCATGACTTCCAAATGTACACATCCCACCCAGCTCCTTCCCTGGACTCAGTCCCTCTATCCAACTGCCCATCTGACACTTACACGGGAGTGCCACACCCCAAGTTCCCATCTTTCTGAACCTGTTCCCTATCCCTTCCCCATCTCAGCAAGTGGTTCTTCATTCTCTGAACTGCTCAGGCCAGAAACCTAGAAGTCAGACTTGACTTCACTTTCCTGCTTACACCTGAGTCCAATCTAGTAGCAATGCCTGCTGGGCCTCTGGTCAAAATGTCCCCCAACACCCATCGCTTCACTGCTTCCATCCTGGTCCAAGCCATCATGCTACAGCGCCCGTGTGTGGTGCAGCAAGCTCACACTTCATCTCAGATCACGCTCCCCGGCACTTGTCATTTAAAGGCCAAGAACCAAAAGGCCTTACATGAAGTGGCTCTTCTGTCCCCTCTGTCCTAATCTCCTTGCACACTCTCCAGCCACCAGGCCCTCCTCAACACACCAGCTGAGCACCTCCTTCCAGACCTTCCACTTGTTGTTCCTTTTGCTTAAACCAATTTCCCCAGATAGCTACATGGTTCATCCCTCATCTGTCTTTACTGTTATTTTCTCATTGTGGCCTTCGTTGACCTTGTTTAAACTGCATTCTTCTCCATGCATCTTATATATTTTACCTATTTGCTTTGTCAACATCTTTCTCCCCACAGCATTACAGACCGTCCCTGACGTTAAGGATTTGTTTTGCTGTTCTACCCCAGCCCCTAGGACAGTGCCTAGCACAGGGTAGGCACTCAAATAAATATTTAATCGAATGAGTGAATTCTCTGTGCCTTTCTCTGAGCTCTTTATAACAAACACGATGTGAATATTATAAAGTTATCTGCGCATTTCAGTGTCTTCTCTGCCGGGATAACGGAGCTCCGGGTAAGACCCGCCCAGCTCTGGGATTGCAGAGTCGCAATGGCGCTTGGAACGGAGAAGAGGGCGCGAGTGCAGGCGCCCGCTAACCAGACTCAGAAGGTCGGCGGGGCCCTCGGGCCTACAAACCGTCGGGGTAGTGGAGCGGGTGGTTACTGACCGGCCGTGCGGTCACAAAGACGAGATATTGCACACACGGAAAAAAAACAAACCGCGCGGTCTACACCCACCTCGCTGGGAGCGCAGGGTGGGCCCCGCACACCCCCGGAATTCCGACCTTGAGGGCGGGGCCGGGGCCTAGCACCCTCGGACGTGGGGGAGGAAGGTCAGAGCCAGGGGAGACAGGGGCCTCACGCTCGAGCCAGACCAACGGGTGGTGGCATCCGAGACGCCTCCGAGCCCCCCTCCCCCACTACATAAGGACATCTGGCCCGGCCGCTGCGCCTTTAGGCCCTCACCTTTGGCCTTGGGAACGGAGCCCCCCCCGCCCCGAGCCAGTGGTACGGCCTCCTCCCGTCCCCGCGCCGGGGCGATTGGTAGGGCCCATGTGCGTGACGCACAATGGGCAGTTGGTGCACGCCGGCCGCGCCCCCCGCGCCCGGTAGGGGGCGCCTGGCACCGCCCGCCCGGCGAGGCTTCCCCCACCCCGCTACCCTCGCGGCTCCGGCGTCCGGGAGGATACAGCATGAGCAGTCGCAGCTCCCGCTCTTTCTGCTTCATCTTCTTCAGAATGGTCAGAAGCCCCATGGTCCCTGTAGCCCCCTCCCGGCCGCCGTTTCTTCCTTGTCCCGGGACTCCTCTCCCTGCTCCTATTGGCTATCACGCCCACCGACAGCGCAGCCTATTGGTTAGCCTCTCGTTTGGTCCCGCCCTCCCTCCCACGTGACCGCGAAGGCGCCGGGCCGTGCTGGTCCCTCTAGCGGTGCTGGGGGCTTTTGCTGGGCCGCCCGCGTTAACCCTTCGCTTCCCAAGGGCTTGGGGTACGAGGGCCCCGCCATTCCTTCCTCCCCAGAAACCCAGGCTCGGCTGGGAACGGAAACCCGGGTTGTATCTTGGCTATATAGGAAGTAGGAGTTGTGACCCAGGAGTCGGTATTCAGAGCCCCAAGGAGGTCGACAAGCTCGTTATTGGCCCCGTTCCCCGGAAACAAGGTCCCGATCTTGCTTGTCTTGGACCTCGGCATCATCCTCAACTTGCCAGTTAGCGGGCCTCCCCCTTCCCCCGTCTCCTGGGTTTGTCGAGGGTGGGCGGGGGATTCTACATCGCTGGCGAAAATGCCCCCTAGGGGCCGTTGCGAAATGTGCGAAATGTGCGGGGGCATTTTTGGGGTGTCCCAATTGCAAGGTACAGCCCCTGTCGTTGTGAAGGTAGGGAGCAGGCCCGCGTGAAGACTTGTCCCGCCCAGGACGACCGTGGTCTCTCTGTTGAGAAGCCCTTTCACATGATGCTTATACCGTGGCTGGCATACAGTAGGTACTCAATAAATATTTGTTGAACGAATGACCTTGTTCAAGAGTTTGGTTCTTCACCTCAGCGCTCAAGTCCTGAAGACGTGAAGAAAACGAGGACAGGGAGTAGGCAAATTGTAAACTCAGAATGGGGAGCTAAGCTTATGGTCTTAGGCTGAGCCCTTCCCCCAGCCCACTGCAGGGTAAATGCTAGTAGAAGGCTCTCTACTGCTTGGGAAAGAACAGTTCCGCCGGAGCTGAAGATAATGGCTGATTTCTGTGAATTGTTTATAAAGCACTCCACGTTTTCTCCTTCATCCCCCTGGCAACCTTTTTGTTTCCTTTTTGTAGATGTGAGAGTGACGTCGGGAGAATCTAGAAGGAGCTTGGGCAGCAGGGAAACTCAGGTCTGGTTGACAGGAAGATGCCCCGTTTTTTCAGGGGCTCTCCATAGTGTTGGCCTAGAGAGGGAGAAGTCTGGAGCAATCCTGGGCTTCCAGTCCTGCAGAAGAAGGTTGTGGATAGATGAGGGCTGGACAGAACAGGGTGCCTGGGGGAGCGCCCTCAGTCAGTACTGTTTACCCTCCACCAGGCACACAAAAGGGGAGACAGCAGCCTAACTCCTATCCAAAGGCTTTGAGACACAACTAAGATCACAAGATGCCTACCGCCCTGCCTCCGAGAGTATATGCTCCAGAAATTCCAGCACCAGCACATGAACAGTTACGATAAGGAAGTTCACCGTGACAGGGTTTGGAACAACAAGAAACGGGGGAAAAATGTAAATGCCTCCAGTGGGGAATCAGTTACCCGGGGTACCCGTGTGGTAGATCCCATGAAGCTTTTGAGAAGGGTGAGATGGAGCAGATGTCATGCCACGTTAAGTGAAAAATCCATTTTCAATCCCATTTTAATTTCAAAAATAACAGTAATAACAATGACTCACAAAACAGTGTTTTCCTATGGGGTGCAGCCCATTAAGCAGAACGAGAAACTACTTTAGGGTCACAAATTCGTTGAACCATAGGAAATCACCCAGATCTGACTGTTTTGACTACAAAGATGTCAGTTTCGTATGGTTCAACCCGGCAGCATTAGCAAAAAAATTACGTGGGGGGCGCCTGGGTGGCTCAGTGGGTTAAAGCCTCTGCCTTCGGCTTGGGTCATGGTCTCGGGATCCTGGGATTGAGCCCCGAGTCAGGCTCTCCGCTCAGCGGGGAGCCTGCTTCCTGCTCTCTTTCCCTGCCTCTCTGCCTACTTGTGATCTGTGTCTGTCAAATAAATAGATAAAATCTTAAAAAAAAAAATTACGTGGAATGAACCGACTGGACCATATTGCTGCCTTTGCCCATGGAGTAAAGGTAAGTCACGTTTGTTGAAAAATCCGGATATTTATATGTACGTGAGAGTCCATACATCTCTCTGAGTGAGAGTCCTAGTCATGGAATTTTGAAAATCACTGCCATTCAACTGTTAACTCTCAAGTGGGTTTGAGGGAAACTTAAAAATTACCTTAAGGGGCGCCTGGGTAGCTCAGTGGGTTAAAGCCTCTGCCTTTGGCTCAGGTCATGATCCCAGGGCGCTCTGCTCAGCGGGGAGCCTGCTTCCCCCTCTCTCTGCCTGCCTCTCTGCCTACTTGTGATCTCTGTCAAATAAATAAATAAATAAATCTTTTAAAAAAAAATTACCTTAAGCACACCTGGATTGATTTACTTTATGACCACCTCTAGTATCTAAACCCTTGTTTAAATGTCAGGATGAAAGCCCTGCTCTGTGCAAGCTGTTGTAGCTTCTCACAGGCCACAGGGTAGGATTATAATGGATAGCAATTAAAAAAAAACAAAAAAACAAAACAAAACAAAAACAGTCACCTGGGTGGCTCAATGGGTTAAACCTCTGCCTTCCAGCTCAGGTCATGATCCCAGTGTCCTGGGATCGAGCCCCTCATCGGGCTCTCTGCTCAGTGGGGAGCCTGCTCCCCCCCACCCCCGCCTGCCTGCTGCTCTGCCTACTTGTGATCTCTCTTTCTGTCAAATAAATAAATCTTTAAAAACAAAAACCTGGAAGCTCTGTGAAATAGTGGGCCAGGATGTAACTGTATTTAACTTTTTTTAAAAGATTTTTCTTAAGAAAAAAAAAAAAGATTTTACTTTTATGTTTTTGAGAGAGAGAGCAGGAGAGGGGAGAGGTCAGAGGAAGAAACAGGTTCCCCGCTGAGCAGAGAGCCCGATGCAGGACTCCGTCCCAAGACCCCAGGATCATGACCTGAGCCAAAGGCAGATGCTTAACCAACTGAGCCACCAAGGCAGTCCTATATTTAACTTTTGAATAATAATTGCCTAGGGAGGCACCTGGGGGGCTCAGTGGGTTAAGCATTGGATTCTTGGTTTGGGTTCCTGTCACGATCTCAGCATGGAGTCTGCTTGAGATTCTGCACATGCACACTCACTCGCGCTCTCTCTGAAATAAATAATAAATCTTAGAAAAATAACAATCACCTGTAGCTAGAGATCTAGACGGGAGGGTAGAGAGGAGGGGCGGAGCAGGTTTTAAAGACAAGGGCAGGGGCCTCGTGAGTGACAGGCGGTATTTTCATTTGCCTCATCGAAAGGAAGAAAGGGTGCTCTTAAGAAAGTCAAATCTTTAGGGAATACCTTTGGAAGAAAACTGGAAAGATCCATATAGCTGTCGCTATATATAAAACTGTGAATATATATATATTCACAAGAGAGAATCGGGAAATTTAAATACCAAATCTTAACAACTGTGAAACCTGCTGTTGGAGGGAGAGTTTCTCGAGGCCCAGTAAATGGATTAGAACTTGAGGATGGAGCTCTAGATGCCTTTTAAAAAGGCACACGTGTTTACCCAATGTCTGGGGAGGAAATTTTGGTATTATTTTAATTGTAAGAGGTGCACCCTTTCTGAGTCGGCAATACATTTCGTGTATCACCTTTAGAATCATAAAAGAAAAGTAACAGAACTCTTTTTATCCTGGAACAACAGCAAGCCGGGCGAAAAGACCCTGCCTTACTTAAATTGCTAGTCATGAAGCACTGGCCAGAGTCGTACCTAAGTATTTTATTTATTTATTTGTGTATATAAATACTTATTTTTAAGCTTGCCCTGGATGAATTTTCTATTTGTTTCTTCTGAAGTATAACGTTCATGGACGTTGTTTAAAGCTATAGTTTTGATAAGAGAAAGCCTATTTTTTTTTTTTCCTGGTGAGAGTCATCTTTGGAGCCCAGGCGAATGACAGAAGCATCAACTATCACTTGGTGGCAGCATACCCAAGTGTAGGTCTTGTCCTACTAATCAGTAAACGGAGAGCTGGAATGGCCGTGGCCTTCAGACCACAGTTCTGCTCTGGCCTGTTCTAGGACTCCCACCCCTGATCTTCCTGTAAACCGCAAGCACTCAGGAAAGGCGCTGTCCCCGGTGGGTGTGTACGACGTGCCGGCCCCGGCCGAATGCCTCATAGGGCAAGCAGGAGTGTCCAAGCCTCCTCACTCTAGGCCTCGGCCCAGCTGCCTCACTCCAACCTACGACAAAACAAAGTCTTCACGCACACCTCCGTCCAAGAGCACATGATGACATCCTTAGGCTTTTCCAGAACCTTTAGAGTGGGGAAAGGACTTGAGAGCCTGAGCTCTTCCAACAAACACGTCCACGTGTGCCTGTGGGGTCCTCGAGAGCTATACTGTGCCCAGGCTTCTCGTGGCCACGGCGCCTGGCAGGGTGAATGGACTGGTGGGATGCGTGGTAGCTATGCCTTCCCTCGGCAACCTGAGAGGCAAAATGATTGACCTCGGTCACCGCATAAGTTTGAGGTCTACAGCATGATGGTTTGACCTGGTGAAATGGTTGCTGCGATAGGTTTAGCTTCTCATGTAAATACAATAAAGAAAAGAAAAAGAAAAAGGAGAAGAAATTCTCCTTACGATGATAACTCTTAGGATTTATTCTTGTAACTTCCCTGTACCTCGCGAGGCACTGTTAGCTCTGGGCCTGGGGGGGGTCTCACCTTACATCGCCCCCAGTACTTCGTTATCTTGCAACTAGAAGTTGGTGTGTTCAGACCACCTTCCTCCATCTCCCCCTCCTCGATTATCCACCTCTGGTGTTGGATATGGATTTTTAAATACTTTTAAAAAAAGATTTTATTTATTTGAGAGAGAGAGAGACAGAGCATGAGCCAGGTGGTGGAGATGTGGAAGACAGAGGGGGAAGGACACGCAGACTCCCCACCGAGCAGAAAGCCCGACTCGGGGCTCCATCCCAGGAAGACCAGGTGGGCAGTCTCCAGAGCCTTCTGACCTCGACTTATGGCCAAGCTGCCTTGCCAAAGTTCTTGACGCCTT